AGTCGCCTCGCTCTTAATCGTCTGAAATACATGCACCTTTATCGCATAGACTTCATGCCTGATAATATCCCGATGGGCGTCGGTAGGAATTCACATCTGGCCGTCACCATTCTGTATGTTTTCCCTGTTTAACCACATTAGTACTTCTGTTGTGCAATTTCTAGAGTAAGCTCTTAACTCATGAATCAAGATAACAGTTTGAAGAAGATAATGTTCTTCACAAGAGCACTGAGCAGAACCATTGAGAACAATCTTCATTAGCGCCATGTTTGTAAATTATAATTTGTACGTAAGCAATGTGAATCTTCTATAAGTAACAGCGTTTTGTTGGGTTCACAATGCATTGGACAATGGCATATTACAAGAACACAATCGCGTTGATTCATCTTTCGCACGTGTGCTATCCTTAGTTCGTTGGGCTTATCAAATGAAGTATATGAGTAGGACAAAGTTACTAAGGAAGCCACAAAATGCATGCAGTTTGCATTTTCATTTTTGTCACGCCTAAGGCTTGATTTGCTATTTTACTAGGTGATTTCCCGTACTTTGTTGCGGGAATTACTAAGTAATTCTCAATATATTTTTTCGACAATCAAGCTAGGAGTAAAAAGGAAAAAAATAATAAAACATCCACTAGAACGGATACCCTCATCTCAATCGGGCGGTAAGCCCCATCTCAATCGGGCACAGCGTCCGTCACAGGCTAGAAGTCACTGATGTGAAGAGTTATCTCAATCGGGCAAACGGCCGTCACGAATGAATATATCTCAATCGGGCCCTAAGTAAAGCCCGTCACCGATAGCTTTGACCCAGACGACCAGTCAAACTATAGCCCGTCACAGATGACCTATCTCTATCGGGCCACAACTAGCGCCCGTCACAGATGACTACTAACCTTTATCGGGCCTAAACTAGAGCCCGTCACAGATGATACTCACCTCAATCAGGCCTAAACTATAGCCCGTCATAGATGACTGATGACCTCAATCGGGCCTAAACTAGAGCCCGTCACAGATGACTAGTGACCTCAATCGGGCCTAAGCTAAAGCCCGTCACAGATGACCTCATCTCAATCGGGCATTTAGTTATGGCCCGTCACAGATGACTATAATCCACAAAAAAAATAAATTTTGTTTTTTGGCTAGCCTCAGACCTTTGCTAGCCATGCCCGCTGCAAAAATGATAGAAACAAACACAGATATCCAATATCCCCAGCTCCCCAGCATCACCCATTCATACATATGCATTTACATACACAGACATCAACATATTTCACACAACCACACATTCACAGCCATCTCATATTTCACATCCATTCACATATTTCACATCCATTCAAATATTTATCATATTTCACCTGCAAAACCGAGTTAATTGGATCAAATATTTATTTAGCAAGTCTTAACATAAACATTTGAAATATATACATAAATATAAGCATCACAGTTACATCATCACAGTTGCATAATAAGTGTTCATCATTGCCTAAACATAGAAGTTCAACATTGTTCATCATTTTAGTTTAAGCGATCAAGGCGCGCGTTCAACCCGTCCTTTGTCTTCCCGGGAATATTCAACATCAGGCCAACCAAACTCTCACACACATTATTTTCTACATGCATGAGATCAATGCAATGACGGACATCAAGATCTTTCCAGTAAGGTAGCCGCCAAAATATGGATTTTTTCTTCCACATACCCTTCTCCTTTGTCTTGCTACGTTTTCTTTTCTTCCCAAACTCATTGCTTATGTCCTTGACCATATTGTGGACCTCATCTCCGGACAAATCTTTGGGAGCAGGCTGAAGTTCTCTCTTACCATTAAAAATTTTCTTCTTTCTTCTAAATGTGTGACGTAGCGGGAGCCACCTCCGGTGACCCATGTATACCATCTTTCGTGATTTCTTCAGCCACCGGCTTCATGTATGTTCCTTGCCTTCTTTCCTTTTATAGTTTGTCCGGAAAGATTACCGAGTGCAGGGTAGTCATTAATGGTGCAAAACAATAGAACTCTTAGCTTGAAGTTCTCCTGACCATATGCATCCCAAGTTTCCACACCTTCTTTCCAAAGAATCTCCAGATCGTCGATAACAGGCTCCAGGAATACATCGATATCATTGCCGGGTTGCCTTGGACCTTGGATTAACAAGCACAACATAATATATTTTCACTTAAAGCATAACCATGGCAGGAGGTTATAGTTCGCAATAAGAACTGGCCAAGTGCTGTGAGTACTACTCATGTCACCGAAAGGATTCATGCCATCCGTACAAAGACATATCCTCATGTTTCTAGGGTCGGCAGCAAAGTCTTTGTGTTTTCGATCTATATTCCTCCATTCAATCGAATCCGCTGGGTGTCTAAGCATACTATCATTCCTTCTTTCCGTGGCGTGCCAACGTACTAACTTCGCTTCGTTCGGGTTGGCAAAGATTCTCTTGAAACGATCAATGATAGGTAGATACCACACAACCTTTGCCGGACCACCCCTCTTTGACTTATTTCCTTCGTCAGCACTTTTCTTTCGCTTGTATCGAGAAGCCTTGCAGACAGGACAAGCATCCAAGTCCGCATATTGCTTGTGGTACAATATGCAGTCATTGGGATAAGCGTGAATTCTACGGACCTCTAACCCCAGTGGACACAGAACCTGCTTTGCTTCGTATGTCGTCTCGGGCAATGTGTTCTCAACAGGAAGCATAGCCTTCAAAATTCCTAAAAGATTTGTGAAACTCTTGTCTGTCCATCCACTACTTGCCTTCAGCTTCATTAGGTCCAAGGTAACTGACAACTTAGTGTGTTTTGCTTTGCATCCAGCGTACAAAGGCGTCTCGGAATCACTTACCAACCTGCTGAATTTCATTCCATCTCTCTCATTCTGGGCTGGGTCCTCAACGTCACGTAACATGTCTTGCAGCAGATCGTGATCCACATCAACCATTTCACCGCCCAATGGAGAAGGTATAAACATTTCATGCTCATTTTCATCTTCCTAATTATGCGCACCACTTCTGTCTGCTGCTGCTCCACTTCCTGATTCTTGCTCTCCATGCTTCACCCAACATGTATAGCCCTCCATGAATCCTCGTTGTATCAGATGACCGTGTACGTCCTTTCCGCTATCAAACATATTCTCGTTCTTGCAATCTGCACATGGACAACACATGTAATCACTGTTTCTTTTTATCCGATCCTCCTCCGCGGCGTTCATAAATTTTATTATGCCCTTTCGGTACTCTGTAGAATGACGTTTCAAATTTTTGGCATACATCCAACTTCGATCAATTGCTAAAAAAAACAAATTAGAGGCACATATTATAAGATCAGTATTGCAAAAGTAAGACGTGATGAAATTGCTCAATTAATGATTTATATTACTCACTTGATTGATCCATTTTGATTACTTTTGGGAATTTAATTTCTGTTTTCCTTGGAAAAAGGACAAAAATTCGCCCCCTACAGCCTCCCACCAAAATAGTGAACTGTGGGATACAGTTACACTAGGTGGTGGGGAGTATTTATACTGTGCAACAAATATCTGTAACGGCCCTAAAACAATCAACCGTGATGGGCATACAAGTAATCTCTATCGGGCCTTAATAAAAGGCCAATCAAAAAAGAGTGTCATCTGTGACGGGCAATAAACTTATCTCAATCGGGCCTCTAGTTGGAGCCCATCACAGATGACCCTCATCTGTGACGGGCTTCTTTTAGGGCCCGATTGAGATATGGAACCCTCATCTCAATCGGGCCTCAACTATAGCCCATCACAGATAAGTGTCATCCGTGACGGGTTTTAGTTTTATGCCGATATACCATGGCTGTGCGACCATATCTCAATCGGGCGAAATTTTGGCCCGATTGAGATTACTTCCTTGTGACGGCCCGCAAATTCCAGTCTTGTTATGGGCCGTCACAAATGGAAGGATCTGTACTAGTGATCTGTGTTTATCAGTACTTACCATGAAACAAACAAATGATGTGAAACGTGTTAATAAGTATATGTTAAATATTATAAAAATGATAGATAGATTTGTTAAAATATTATGTAAATGATGTGAGGGGTGATGATTAGATATGCTTGCATGTTGATTTGTATAATTAAATAAACTGTAGATGATGTTGTATGCTTGCATGAAGTTAAATATATAATTATTGCTAGTGAGTGATGACGTGGTATGGTTACGTGTTGAGCTTTAGACTTAGTATGCTAGTTTACTGGATATAGATTTGGCTAGTTTCCATGCTCTCTAAGGAAGCTGTATCAATTTATATATTACAAACTGCTGTAAAAAAAAAGTTACTCCCTACGTTTAGTTTTATATTATAAGTCGTTTTTTAAATATAACTAGATTTATAGAAAAAAATATAGTAGTATTTTCAATACAAAACAAACATATTATCAAAATCCAATGTTAAATTTAATGAAACTAATTTGATATTTTAGATGTTGCTAATTTTTTCTATAAAATATTTGATTACTTATAATATAATGATACAGAGGGAGTGGAACTTACATTGAGTGATGCAACAATGCTTCCTTACACAATTATACTCCATCGTAGTGAGCATCTGTAGACTGGTAGAGGATTACATCATCAAGGATGCGCAGGATTTATTTCCTCGTCTTTTCTGGTGTTTGGATGAGGGACCTTAACTTTAGTCTCTTTATTTAGACACTAATTTAGAGTATTAAATATAAACTACTTACAAAACTAATTACATAAATAAAAGCTAATTTACGAGACAAATTTTTTAAGTCTAATTAATCCATAATTAGAGAATGTTTACTGTAGCATCACATAGGCTAATCATGGATTAATTAGGCTTAATAGATTTGTCTCGCGAATTATTTCAAGATTATAGATGGGTTTTATTAATAGTCTACGTTTAATATTTATAATTAGTGTTCAAACATTCGATATGATAGAGACTTAAAATTTCTAGTCCCATCTAAACAGGGTCCTATTCTACTTCCTCTGCTGCTTCAGTTATGTAAGGCACTTGGGCTGGGCCAACACGTTTGAGTTCCAGGCCCACGAAACCCACCCAACTCGATGGAGGACGGCGATGGGGACGAAGGCGCCGCCAAGCGTACCAAGCTCTCCGCCGCCGCCGCCGCCGCCGCCGCCGGCGAGGACCGCCTCAGCGCACTTCCCGACGACCTGCTCGTCCAAGTCCTTCTCCGGATAGGAGGAACCACCGCCGCGGCGAGGACCAGCGTCCTCTCCCGCCGCTGGCGCTCCCTCTGGTGCCTCCTCCCGGAGCTCGATTTCGTCCCCGAAGCCGACGGCGGCAGCATCCGCGCCGCCCTCGCTGCCCATGAACCGCCTTCCCTACGCCACCTCCTCGTCGCCGCCCAGGACGCCGCCCCTCACGGCATGGCGGAATGGCTCCCCGTCGCGGCGCGCCGCCTCGCCGGGGATCTGTTGCTGTTCAACATGGCGCCGAAGAGAGATGCCAAGGACGACGACGACGAGGAGGGGAAGGATGGCTCCCCATTTCTTGAGCTCCCCTGCTTCGGCAGCGCCACCAAGCTCTCTCTCGACCTAGGGTTCCTTCCCCTCGCCGTGCCGGTCTCCGGCGTGTTCGCCCGGCTCACCGACCTCTCACTGGACAGCGTCCGGTTCCACGGCCCGTGCGAGTTCGGTGACGCCGCCTCGTCGCGGCGGTTCCCATCCTTGAAGAATCTCAACATCCGGAACACCCAGGGTTTGAGCAATTTCATCATCCACTCGGATTCTCTCCTGCAGCTGGACCTGAGGAGTGTGAGAGGATTGAAGCAGCTCAATGTCGTGGCGCCTGCACTGCAAGTGTTAAGCGTGTTCTTCTGCTTTGCTGATACTCAGGCTAGGAGTCAACCGGTCGCCGACATCGCAGCCCCGCAGCTGGAGACTCTCCAGTGGGAAGATGCTTTTGATCCAAGCTCCGTCGAATTTGGCGAGATGGCGAGTCTCCGATGTCTGGGAACCTACTTTTTTCTTGTATATGGACTAGAAGACTTTAAGAACAACCGCGATTGCTTGAGGCTCTTGAAGCGCTTTCGGCGTGATGCCATCTCCAGACTTACCCTCACGCTTGCCTTTCTGCCGGTGAGTTCAATTCCTATCCTATGTTGAGTACATCATAGTATCATACTACTAGCATCACAGAAGAGAGCACTGTTTACTCATGTTTTCAATGTAGCAAACAAATCAAGGAGGTTCTTAGATTATCACCATACATATATGCATAATCTCCTGATATTTGATAGGACAGATGAAACTTAGTTAATGTCGGTGAAGTATTTCGGGTATGTCTTAAATTGCTCAAGCCCCTGCGCCACATTTCAGCCCACCAAAATCTCACTCTTTCCCATTATGTCTTTTTATCCTCTTAATTGATGTGTTATGTTTTCCACCTTGCCATGAGAATTATGTGCAATGATTATGCGGTACTGCATTAGTTTAATATTTACTGAAAGGAAATATGATCCCTCAATAGTGGAGAGAATTTAAACCAAGTAATGATGCCCTGTATATTATCATTGCCAAATTTAAATTGAGATACCATGTGTGCTTAAGGAGAATGAGCAATGCAGTTTCCTATATCTTAGCTAGACATGCAATGGCCATAGTTTTTTTAATAAGAAATTTAGCTTCTACTGACCATGTCCTGTTCGCTAATCACATAGTCTAAAGGATATGTTTCTGTACCTCTCCAACTGCTCTTTTTGATTCCCTGTTTTCTAGATTTAGAATCTCCAGATTTTTTACAAGAAAATCATAAGTAAATTGTTAGCTTACAACAACCATTTGTCTATGCTAATAACTTTCTTTAAATGAGATCTTTCTATCCTTCCTTTCCAATTGCTATATATAATCGCCATGTTTTACTTCCTACAGAAGGACCTCTGTGACTTTGAATACTTAATGGAAAATATGACAATGCTCCCTGACATTGTGTCCCTTAACCTCAACGTATTGGCAAATGGACATGCCATTGGCCCCAGCTTATTCCATGTTCTCAGGATGTGCACAAGTGTAAGAAGGTTGAAGCTAGTAACACATATTTCTCTTGACCTCGAGGTAAAAGCTGAAACTATTGTTAGTTTGTTTATCTACTACAGGCTTACCGAGGAAGTCCAGAATGCAATTTGCATTTTCATTTTCTGTCACACCTAAGCTCGATTCACCATTTTATTTGGCTAGTTTCCTTACGCTAGGTAGTGATTTGAATTGATAATGATATATGTAGTAAACATGTGGCTTATGTATGTCCTATTGGAAAAACTTTGCTCTGCAAGTTTGACAAAGTGCCATACTGCTCTTTCCTTTTTGAATGCTTGGAAGCATTTTGCTCCAGATTGAAAGTTTTCTGAGTCTGAGTTTACATGGCTATCACTCTCGGTGACACAATTAAGATTTAGGAGATGATGCTGATTGACAATTTGTTACTGATATTGTAATTTCTGAGGACCTTGATAATTTCATACTCACGTTTTTTCGCACAACTTTATCATAGCACATAACAACTACAATGTCTTCAAACTAGTTTCCATTTGTCATGCTTTTGCAATCTTTGTTCAGTGATGCATCCCGAGGTGTTTTTCAGGCAAAGTTAATGTAACTACACTAATAGAATGCTGCTTGTTTTAGGCACAAGCTGTTTGTTCATCAGATTGCGTTTGTGATCTTCCACCAAACTGGAAAACTGAGGAACTTTTGTTGAAATTCCTTCATGAAGTAGAAATCAATAATTTGAGGGGAACTGGACATGAAATTGCCCTTGTGAAGTGGCTATTCAGTTGGGCAGTAGTGTTGAAAGACATGACGATAAATTTCTATCATTCAGTCCCTGAGAGCACGGCGAAAGAGGTGTGCCAGATGTTACTTAATTTCTCTAGGCCTGAAATATGCATGAAAATTTATTTTTACCACAGATGGCGTAAGGTTTTGTATGTTCCAGAGGACTAATGCGCCGCACCAGACTTGACGCTTGACTATTAGACTCATTTTGCTTTCTAGTTTTGTACTTGGTTTGAACTGCGTTGCATGTAAACATCAAAATGCTCTCAGATATTAGACAAAATGCAGGTCAGCCATCTATCTTACAAGAACATGTGAGCCGTGCAAATTCATGTAGTGTAACTGCTGCACAAAATTGGTTAGAACTTAAAGTTAATGGCTGCAAAACTTTGGCATATCTTCCATCACATGAGTGTTAGAGCAGGCAGGGCTCATATGTGATGCAGTAATGTTTCATTCCATCATTTAATTTTGAGCAGCTGATAGAAAGTTAGAACATGGAGGATGTGCAGGATTTATCTCGTTATCTTTGTATGTTTCAATTGTGTAAGGTACAAGTTAACAGAGATGGAAGTCACGCTTCCTTGGCATATGCTGTAAATCTTTAGAACAGAACCTCTTCTCCAGTGGGCCTTGGCAATGTGGACTAGGCTGAGACCTGAGAGTTTGTTTTTGAAAGATTAATGTGTTCACTAAATTGGTTGATGAACAATGGGAGGCTAGACATACATAAGGATCTAAGGGAAATGTTAGGAGTAACATCCTAGATTAATAATGGTGGCAAAGGGCACATGGAGAGCTTCTGGCATATGCGGCTACTTCCAAATTTTTAAATTATCAGAATTCTCACCAGCTAAATCAGTAGTAAAAATGAATAAGGCTTATTTGTTTTGGAGGAATTCCAAAGGACATGGATTTCTAAAGATTAATTCCTATAAATGTCATTCGATTCAGAAGAATATAGATATAAAATACCAAAGGAAATTTTTCTCTCCTACTAGTTGTAGGGAGAAAAATATAAGAAATTCTCCGTCCAATCAAACCTCTTGAAAAATTACTATTCTTATTCCTCTATTTGTCCTATTTCTATGTATTACAAAATTCTTTCAAAACGAATAGACCCTACAAAGTACAGGTTCATACCCTTTAGGGTTTAGTTAATAAGGGAAATTTACATAGTTACCCTTATGATAGAGACATTAGTGTGGGTATACAATGTCTTTTGTATTCATGGGCCCTACGGCGATTTTCTTGGGCCAGCCCATTAGTGGCGAAAGGCCTCCATGGGCCACAGAGCCTCCTAAGCCCTTAGCCGAAGGCATCTTCTACTTCGGGCGATGGCCTCTTTGCTTCGTCTTATGGCCTTTGCCCTTAGTGATGATTCAGGCGGATGGTGAGCTTGATAGCGAACCCTTTGGTCTTCGTCATTAGGCTTCGCTCAAGAGCTTCGCCCTACGGCTTCGCCTTAGGCCTGGTTTAGTTTCTCAAATTTTTTTCCCAAAAACATCACATCGAATCTTTGAACACATGCATAGAGCATTAAATATAAATTAAAAAAATTAATTGCACAGTTAGAGGGGAAAATCGTGAGACGAATCTTTTAAGCCTAATTAGTCTATGATTAGCCATAAGTGCTACAGTAACCTACATGTGCTAATGATAGATTAATTAGGATCAAAAGATTCGTCTCGCGGTTTTCAGGCGAGTTATGAAATCATGTTTTTTTTCATTCGTGTCCAAAAACCCCTTCCGACATCCGGTCAAACATCCGATGTGACACTCAAAAATTTTCTTTCGTGAACTAAACAGGCCCTTAGACGCACCCCTTGGGTTCAACCGACATTTCATGAGTTGGTGGTTTCGGTAGGTTTGGTCGAAGACCCTCGTGACATGCCTCCATCACTAACCAACCGCATCTCCAGTTCCGTATGGAGCCATGTTTTGTTACAATGAATTACTCCCTCCGTACCATAATATAATGGATTTTGAGTTTTTACTTGCAACATTTTACCACTCGTCTTATTCAAATTTTTTTGAAACTATTATTTATTTTATTTGTGACATACTTTATTATCTACAGTACTTTAAGCACAAATTTTCGGTTTTTATATTTGCAAAAAAAAATTGAATAAGACGAGTGGTCAAACGTTACAAGCGAAAAATCAAAATCCCTTATATTATGGGACGGAGGGAGTACTATATGGGATTTGTAATTTGTGGTGAAATGAGGAGCCTAATCCAAATTTGTTCATCGCAAGGTTTAAATTTAAATTCAAAACGAAGAGGAGATTTGAATTCATACCATATCAAATCGAAACCCTAGAACTCCTCCAGTATTCCGGATTTTGGGCCCCCGAACACGAAACCCACCCAAGTCGATGGAGGACGGCGATGGGGAGGAAGGCACCGCCAAGCGCGCCAAGCTCTCCGCCGGCGACGGCGGCGGCGGCGGCGGCGAGGACCGCCTCAGCGCGCTTCCCGACGACCTGCTCGTCCAAATCCTTCTCCGGGTAGGGACGAGCGCCGCCGCGCGGACCAGCGTCCTCTCCCGGCGCTGGCGCTCCCTCTGGTACCTCCTCCCGGAGCTCGATTTCGTCTCCACAGCCGACGCCCGCGCCATCCGCGCCGCCCTCGCCTACCATGGAGCGCCTCCCCTCCGCCTCCTCCTCGTCTCCGCCGTGGGCGCCACCGCTGGATCCGTCGCGGAATGGCTCCCCCTCGCCGCGCGCCGCCTCTCCGGCTATCTAGGGCTTCTCAACGTGGTGCCGAAGACGAAGAGAGACGAGGGGGAGGGCGCCGCCGCTGGAGAAGTTCTTGAGCTGCCCTGCTTCGCCAGCGCCGCCAACCTCGCGCTGGACCTAGGGTTCATTGCCGTCGCCATGCCGCGCTCCGGCGTGTTCTCCCGGCTCACCCTCCTCTCACTCGACAACGTCCGGTTCCACCGCCCGTGCGACCTCGGCGACGCCGTCTCCTCACCGCGGTCCCCATTCCTGAAGAGACTCACCATCCAGAATGCCCATGGGTTGAGCAATCTCAGCATCCACTCGGAGTCTCTCCTGCAGATTCGTTTGGGGGGACTGAAAGGATTGAAGCAGCTCAATGTCGTTGCGCCGGCACTCGGCGCGCTATATGTGATCTCCTGCTTCTCCGATCCTCTGGCTATGAGTCAACCGGTGGCCGACATCTCAGCCCCTCAGCTGGAGACTCTCCACTGGGAGGATGCTTTCGATCCAAGCTCCGTCCGGTTTGGCAACATGGCAAATGTCAAGTGTCTGGGAACTCACTTTTATCTTGCATTTGGACAAGAGGACTTCGGCCACAATGGCGATTGTTTAAGGCTGTTGCAGCGCTTTCAGTTTGATGCCCTCGACCGTCTTTCCCTCACGCTTGCCTATATGTCGGTGAGTTCAATTCCTCTACTAGCATCATAGATGAGAGCACTGTGCATTACCGTGTATTCACTGCAGCGAACAAATCAAGGTGGTTCATAGATGATTATCTCACCATACTCATTTGCATAATATCTTAATATTTGGTCAAGACATATGAAATTTAGTAAATGCTGTTGAGGTACTAACATGTATGTTTTGCATTGCTCAAGAGTCAAGCCCATACATCATGTTTGATCACACTAAAATTTTATTCTTTCCCACTAGATCTTACTGTTAATTGATGGTGCTACATTTTCCACTTTACCATGAGAACTAGCATATGCTAGCACTATGCAATACAGTACTAGTTTATTATTTATTGAAGGGAACATGATACCTCAATAATCAAGGGAATGTGAACCGAGTACAGACAATATTTGTACTTGTGCACTATATATTATCATTGCCATTCTAAAATTGAGATATGCAGTATGCTCATGGGAATAACCAATGCACTTTTCTGACTTGGCCAGACTTATAACTTACAGTGTCCAGACCTTTTTTTTTTTACAAATCCAAATGAAATTGTTAGCTTGTAATGACCCCTAATCACTTCCCCAAAGGATATGTTTCTCTACTCCAACTGTTATATATGATCCCCTCTTTTCTAGATTCAGAATCTCCAGATTGTATACAAGAAAATGAAAATTAAAGTGTTAACGTATGGCAACTGATTGGTTTGTGCTAATAACTTTTTTCAAGTGAGATCTTTCTGTCCTTATATGTTTTACTTTCTACAACAGGAACTAAATGACCTTGAAAATGAATACTTGATGGAAGAAATGACAATGCTCCCTGACATTATGTTCCTGGGCCTTACTGTATTGGCAAGTGGACATGCCATTGGTCCCAGCGTATTCCATGTTCTGAGAATGAGCACTAGTATAAGAAGGTTGGAGCTGGCAACAGATATTTATTCTAGTAATCCGCAGGTAAAAGCTAAAAACTATCCTTAATTTGCTTATATAATACAGAGTTACTAAGGAAATTGTGGACTACAGTCTGCATTTTCATGCTTTGTCACACCTAGGCTTGATTTGCTATTTTATTTGGCTAGATTCCCTACCCTAGGTTGTGATTTGAATTGATATTGAATTACTGATATATGTTGTAAATATATGGCATTATGGCTTATGCATGTCTTGACAACATTTTTCTCAGCAAGTGTCATACTGCCCTTTTTTTTAATACTTGGACGTAGCTCTAGATGGGGTTGGCTGAGTTTGAGTTGTCACATGGCTATCACACGCTCTTGGAAACACAATTAGGATTTAGGGATGATACTGATTGGCAATTTGTTATTAATTTTGCGATACCTGAGGATCTAGGTAATTTTATACTTACGTTTTTCGCACAACTTTATCATAGCACATAACTACAATTTCTGCGAAAGGTTGGCTTCAAACTAGTTTGCAGTTGTCATTCTTATGCAATCTCTGTTCAGTGATGCATCCTGAGGGTGTTTAGGCAGCCCGGCAACTTTAGGCAAGTTGATGTTACTACACTAATATGCCATTCGTTCCAGGCACGAGCTGCATGTTCATCAAGTTGCACTTGTGATCTTCCACCAAATTGGAAAACTGAGGAACTAAAGTTGGCATTCCTTCATGAGGTAGAAATCAATAACTTCAGGGGAACCGAACATCAAATTGCTCTTGTGAAGCAGCTATTCGGTTGGGCAGCAATGCTGAAAGACATGACAATAAATTTCTGTCATTCAATCACTGAGAGCATGGCAAGGAAGGTGTGCCAGATGTTACTAAGTTTCTCTAGGCCAGAAATACTCATGAATTTTTACATTTACCAACAAACGACATCAGGTTTTGTATGTTCCAGAGGACAAATGCACCGCACTAAACTTGTTGCTTGATTGTACTCATTTTGCTTTCCAGTGTTGTATACTTTGGTATGAACTGTATTGCATGTAAACATCAAAATGGTAACAGAATCCTGTACAAGGTTAGTGTCACAAATTCTATTACCCATGATAAAGACTTTTTATTGGTTAATGTCTTTTCTTTTTATATGTTTTTTTTCATGTGGGTTTAAATACTATTTTCAGAAGCTTGAATTTGGAAGTTGAAGAGCGGTGACGAGTTATGTCTAAAGTGACTGTTTATAGCGATTAATTTTGTGGAAAAACTGTACAACTGTTTAAGCGACTGTTTATAGCGATTAATTTTGTGAAGAAATTGTACAACTAGTTTACAAACTAGCACATTCTCAATCGCGTATGTAGGTAGTTTGACTTGAGCCATTGGTCATCTAGTGTTCATAATGGATTTACCGATTTGTAATTTATCATACAGTATGCACATACAAAGTAAGTACTGTACTAAAGCTTTTTACCGCCAATAAATCAAATGAAACATGTTGGGTAAATACTAGTATTTATAATCACACCATTTTGTACAAAAATACAACAAAAATATGATTACACAGCAGTGGAACCTGTTAGATGAGATTAGAATAAGGGACTTTCAACTTATCTACAGTTATTCCTGATTGTATGTTACAAAAAAAAAATGCCATCAGAATATCCCAAAACAATGAAGATCCCATGCTTTCATGGATCCGTCACATTCAGCAACATTTAGTCGCATGTCCAAATAGGCAATCACTATTTTACAAGAACATGTAAGCTGTACAAATTCATATAGTGCAACTATTGCACAAAAATGGTTAACTTAGTTAAAGATGGCTGCTGCAAAACTTTTATGTCTTCCATCACATGATTGTTAGTGCAAGGTATGTCTCTTCTGGGATGTCTTCCACCATTTATCTTATTGCTGTGTAGCTGATATAACAGCGCAACATCCAAGATTCACAAGATTTATCTTCCTTCTTATATCTTCCTATTCTTTCTCTGCTTTAATTCTATAAATACAGTTAGGACCGAGTTCGCATTCAAAGTTGTGCACATGAACATGATCCGAGATGGAAATCACACTCCCCATGGCATGCTTGATATCTTTAGAACAGAGCCTCCTTTTCATTAGGTCTTGGCAAAGGACTACGCTGAGAGTTTGCAATCGGAAAATATACAGTGTTCACTAAATTGGCTGATGGACTAGGATTGGAGGTTAGACCTAAGGGTCTAGAGGAGAAGTTAGGTGCAACTTCCTGGATTGATAGTGGAGTCAATCGAAAAGCTGACGATTCGGAAGGCCTAGCATTGGTTGGCTCACTGGCAAATAAAACATGTCAGCTATGTTATGATCTAAGAAGATGAAAAATCAAATAAAATAACATTTTAAGGTAAGACAGCACTAAATAAAAGGAAACTACTCACCCTACAGTAATTTTTCCTTTCACGCAGGAATCACTCTTCGAGGCTGCTTTGTCTCTTGAACCATTTCCATTATTATTATCCTGTCATATAAAGTGACATCACATACTCATGTGGGTGGCAAAGAGCTTATCTGGGAGACATAGACTTACATTGGATTTAATCCCCGCAAATGAATGTATGGAACCATGTTTGTTGTAATGACTTGAATTCCGGATAAATGGATGCTCCAACAGCTCACTTGCAGTTGGTCTCTCTGCTGGATTCCTCTTGAAACAGAATTGCAGAAAATCTTTGCCCTCATGAGATAAATTGTCAGGAATTGGTGGGTCTTTATGCAAAACTCTAAACATTGCAGCAGGCTGTAGAACAAAAATGATTTATTATGACTAGTGTTTCAGAATAATACTTTTTTATGTATAGTTGTTCATACCCAAACTACCAAGCCATTCAGTGGCTACACCTATCACATTAACATGTTACATAGGTATTACAATGGTTATGTGTGCGTGACACTTGCATTGAAACACAATAATTGATACCAAGAAATGTTGGTTGGGTGAAGTGGTTCATATTTAGGGATTACAATAGGCAGACTACAGTCATGACATGCATGTTACTAAGCTTCATGTAAAGATGAACACTCCAAGTTCTTACCCCTTCAAGATCACTCCAGGGAGGTTTTCCATTAAACATCTCGATAATGGTACAACCAAGACTCCAGATATCAACAGCAAGATCATAACCCACATCTTTATTAAGTGTAGCCTGAACCATCTGCAGGAGAAGAAACAATCTAGATTTCAATAGGCATAAAGGTACAAGAGTGTAACAGAATTTCCGTAGCTCCTTTCCGAAGAATGTTACAGCTAAATTTATTTGCATTCGAAAGTAGAACTTCCAACACAGCTGTAAATTAGAAAAAGCAATGTTAGTGAGGTTGTTTCAGGTCAGACATCTGTCGTACTAAACCATTGGGTAGCCTAATCATCTGAGACCAACTGAATTAAAGAATGTAATTTCAATTGAATTAAAGCAAACAAGACAAAACCAAACCTATCAACTTTAAAAAACATTTGCATTATCTGTTACATAAACTGAGTTTGGGTTGGAGCTGTACAAGCCCATGTGCTGGGCACATGTGTCGGACAAAGTATTTTTATTTTTCTGTATCCATTTAAATACTGCAACCCTACAATTCAGGAACCAAATCCAGGAGAAGCTAAACAAAGCGAGCTCCTATCTTTAGTATGGATAAAACAGTATAAGGTCAAAGAAAAACACTGCATCATATGGAGCTACCGCTTATACAGCTCGATGTTTGTTTTTCTTTGAACCTTGATAGAAGATGTTTTAACTTATTAAGAAACGTGTATGCCTACCTCTGGGGCCATCCAGTATGGTGTTCCCTTCAGTGAAAGATTGGGGGCTGCAGTACTTAACTAAAAGAAAGAGATTAACATAAGCAGTACATTAAACAGAATATATGTAATAAGGGAATACATTTATTTTAAAAATTACCCAAAGCAGAGCATGTTATCAAACGGTTCCGTGCATATGACTGAGCTAATAGTACCACAAAATACAATTATATGTCAAATAGTGCTGACAATGAACATAAACTCAATGGGATTCAAGAGCTCAACAACATACAGCAGATAAAAGTTATATGCACATATCAAATGCATCCAACAACTCCCTTGTTTAGTGATGCTAGTTAGATTTGGAAAAATATTAGATGATAGCTTAAGCTGTTGCTCAGTCATTCTAAAATGACATGCAAATGCTGTTTAAAATGGATATACACAATAAAGTACCATATGTACAAATGCTACTGTACTCTGTTTGAGGATATACTCACATGCTTGGCCATTCCAAAGTCAGCTAATTTGACTACACCACTAACATCAACTAGCAGGTTTGCTCCTTTGATATCCCTGTAAGAGTCGACATGTTTACTTTCACATACATGACATAAGGTAACATAAATTGAAGCGGAGACCAACATAAACAAAATTCTGGAAGTGCAGAAAGTACTAGTATCTTCACAAAAAACTAAAAGAGTAAAGTACATTGGCGGTCCTTAAATTTGTAGGGTTGTGTCATATAGGTCCCTAAACTCTAAAAATACATATCCAGGTACCAGAACTTGTCAAAGTGTATCATCTAGATCCCAAATTGACACATCCCTCTAGGATCCTACGTGACGCTGATGTGGCAATGCCACATAGACGTGACATGTCCTTTTCTTTTTTTTCCTTCTTTCCTTTTTCTTTTTCGTGTTGTTTTCATTCTTCTTTTCTTTCCCTTTCTTCTGCACAGATCACAGAGAAAGGAGAAGAAAGGGAAAAAAAGATAAGAAAAAAAATAAAAACGAAAAAAATAAATGGGTCCCATTTGTCAGTCAAAATAATGCCACGTCATGTTTGTGTGGCATGCCACATCAACGCCACGTAGGATCGTAAAGGGATTGTGGTGATTTGGGACCTAGATGACACACTATGACAAGTTCTGGGACTTGGATATGCATTTTGAGAGTTTAGGGACCTAGATGACACACCCCTACAAGTTTAAGGACCGCCCGTACACTTTACTCAAACTAAAATTAGTTTGATGTTCTCCAACTTTTACATGCAGCAAAATAGCAATTAAAAGGATAAATGATTTGCATAAAGATAATGATTTTCTGAAGTAATAGCAAGATAGGTGAAAGTGAAGATGAGGCCTGTGAGGTGAGCAAGACACAGTTAGACAGAACATGCCAAAATAAACTGAGAAAAGACAGTTTGTCCATGTTGAAATGAATATTTAAACCAAAAGAAGGATATGTAAAGTACTGCACACACACAGCAGTTGGAGTCAAACTAATAGATGATGTAGCAACAAAAAAATAGTAAACAAGGATAGAGATTTGCACACACCTATGCATAATCTTTTGGCCATGCAAAAACGCTAAACCCCTAAGAATATGGCGGGTGAAGTTGCGGACAACTGATTCCGTCATTGCTCCATAATGTTGTTTGACATACTTATTAATTGAACCTGGGTGAACATATTCCAGGTAAATGTAGAAGCGATCTTCAAACTGCACGATCCAAAAACAACTTCAGAATAAATCATGACAATGGACATACTTGATCAGATTTCCACAGGGACTTACAGTGTCACTTCCATAATACTGCACTATGTTTTCGTGCTTGAATTGGCTTAGGAACTTTATTTCCTGAAACATAGGAAACTCAGTGAACAAAGGAAATTGCCAAAATGTCAAGTCATTGGAGGGGAAAATACTGCATTTTTCAACTTGCAGTGGGAACTAAGAAATGGAGTACAAAATGGAGGGCATTAGAGTTTAGTTTTTTTATTCAAAGGAAGATTGATTGTATTTAGATTGGGCATAGAAGCTTATTTCTCAGCATAAAAAAAGTAAACAGGAACACTAATATAACAATACATTTAGATAAACTAATGGCAGTGATAAATGGAAGATTTTTATGTTGCCCCAAATGGACATCATGTAATCTTATTTAGGACACAGTCAATTAACCTGCTCTAACTGCTTCAAAGACTCGGCAGATTTCGCATCATCAGGAATTATGTTGACTTCTTTCATTGCACAAAGAGCTCCAGTTTGCCTGCATGTTAATGTCAGTAAATTGCATTCAAAGCTCAACATGAAGTAGCATCCGTAAATTTGATAACACCAAAAAAAGAAAAACACTCACATACCGATTGGTAGCTTCATATACACAGCCAAATGTGCCGCTACCGAGGAGTCTTCCCTTTTGCCACTGACCAGCCACTGAGGGCATTTCAACTTTTGGAGCAGACTGGTTAACAATGCTTGTCTGCATTGAGTTTATAGCTCCAGGAGGGCGTGGTAATGGGTGGAAACTGACATTCCCATTGCCTTCAATACGTGACATATTATTTTCTGGGAATAATTTTGGGTGCAGAGGTGATGGAGGGGCACTGGAATTCTTCGACATTAGAATAGGACTTCTCAATGAGTTAGAAAAAGTTGATTGCTCTGTAACCCCTGTATATATTTCAGGTGAAATCCGCGGAGATGAAGTTGCCATAGAATCTACCGAGCGGACAGATGGAGCGGACCACGCTTGGGGACCTTGAGCAGTTGGTGTCGTATATTCGGCATTGCTGAATCTTCGAGGGCTGCACACGGGGCTTGAAAACCCACTGCTTGGAGCACTTTTAGCAGGAATGTTCAACCGAAAGTTGGCAGTTTCAGTTGAACTCTTATCTTGGAACTTCTCTCGGAACACCTTCCTGTGGTGACTAGAGGTGGTAGTACGCTTTGAACTATTGTCAGGAAGATTATTATTATTATCAGGAAAATTTTGAACAATCTGGCTTGTCACCCTGCAACCACAAGACAAGTGAGCATCAGGAAACAACATAGATTTGCAGTTTCAGGTTAACATTGCTATGCCCAACATCCAAATGCCTAATCAATCACAAAATTTGCACCTTCCTATGCGTCTTAATCTCTTCGCAGCATAACAAAAACTTAATTTATTTTGAGGAAAACAATCACATTTTACCTTGCATCGCATCAATTAAATACAAAAAAAAATCTCTTGATCATCATCACATACATAATAATTCATTCAATCGCAGGATTCGACATGATCCAATAATTCAGAGGGGAAAAGAATTATAAAATATAATCACATTACCTCGTCGCCCTCTCGCCACCAACATCCGGCTCCGACGTGTCCGATTCCACCGGCTTGGGAGACGGCAGCGGCAGCGGGAGCAGCACGGGCGACGCCGCCGTGGCGGCCCTCGGCGGCGGCTGGTGCACGGCTCTGAACTCGGCGGAGCTCGCGGACCTCGCGATCGGGATCGAGACGGGGTGGCCGACGGCCGCGGACGTGGAGGCGCGGCCTCTGGGGGGAGGCGAGGAGTTCGCGACGACGAGGCCGAGGCTCTCGAGCCCGACGCCGATGTCGTCGACGTGGCGCAGCTTCCGCTGCCGCGTGAGCTGCCTGCGCCGCGCGAGGAGGAGGCCCCCGGCGTCATCGGCGCACCTGCCGGCGGCGCTGCGGCGGCCGGGCGCCGCGCACGACGAGGTGGAGGCCCTCGCCGGCGAGGCCGGGGCGGAGGAGACGGCGGAGGAGCGCTGGAACGCCGACTTGGAGCGCTTCCACCACGTCGGCATCACGGAGGCCTGCGGCGACCAGGAGGCCCGTGCGCGTAGGGTTAATGGCATCGGAGGCGGAGAGGAGGAGGGCGGCGGAGTTGGTGGGCGGCGACGGAGACGGCGACGACGGCGACCTCCTCCATTTGGGGCGGCCTCTCTTTTTTTTAAAAAAAAAATTCAATCAATTTCTGGGCGTTTGTTTAGAGGGGGAGAAAGGAGAGGTGGCTAGCTTCGCGGTTTCCTGCTGACGTGGCATTTCTCTTTTTTATTTTTGCATTTTTAATGGAGATTAATTTCTTTTAAGGGCATGTTTAGATTGTACTCTTACCAAAATTTTAGCAAGATTGTAATATGTAAAAATTTTAGCAGGATTTCTAATGTATATACTAAATTTGGCAACAAATTAAACGTAGATATTTTTTAAAAAACTTTATAAAAAAAATAGTATGGTTGAAAATAACATCCATTCCGTTAGGTCCCTTTTACTTTCGTTTCATTACGTTGAGAAATAACGCGGCAATGTCAATACTGAAGAAGTCCAACCATATGGGTCAGACCATCAGAAAAAAAAAAGGTGAAAGCAAATTAAAGAATAATTTGTGGGTAAATTTTTTATATTTGTATGCTTGGTGATTAAAAACCAATGTTAAAAAAAAGTTAAAACCAACTTTATAATTAAATTTTAAAATTTAAATTTTCAAAAAAAGAAATTAAAATTTATATTTTAGTAATGGTTTATAAGTTATAGGACAAACGATGAGCGGTGAATGAAGATACCTACTAATTAATTCCAAATGCATAATTTATTGCCGATGTGGTCTCTACAAATGTACTACTACCAACAGTCTAGTGCTGTTATTTTTGCTTTTGTTGCAAGTCAATGTATAGTCATGTGGGACCAAAGACTGAATTGGTTGAATTTTATGTTGGTGGAGTTGAATTCAACGAGTGCATGTCAATTGTCAAATCTGTTTTTCTACTGAATACCAAAAGTCTAAGGTCATGTTGTTTTTAAGCAGGACCCTTGTCTTACGTCTTTAAATAACCAAATTAGACATGATCCTAATGGTACTACTGTCCTTGTGACCATGTCTATCCAGTGTTTTCTAATTACGTCCTGATGATGTCATGTTGATTGCATCTCGTATCCTGTCAGTTTCAAGCTGATTATATTATTGCTCTGAAGCAATTAAACTTATGATGTCATTGTGACTTTGTTTACCTCGCGTCACTGAACTAATGTCAGCCGATAAAAACCCAGCCTTTTCAGGTCTTCTAAAATCTCATGCTCTCAAAAATTGGCACTATTAGTTTATTAATAATTAATTCAGGTTCAGTGTTATTATTCTTCTCCGAGTCATAGTGGGTTTTCTCCTATTTAGGATACTTCTAGCAGCTACAACTACTTTTAGAAATTGCAAAATGAATAAATTTGGACTTGGGTTGTGTCCGAGTTTTAGAAAGATTTTACAAATGAATAAATTTGGACTTGGGCTGCGTTCGATTTTTAGAGTGATTTCACAAAATGAATAAATTTGGACTTGGGTTGCGTTCAATTTTTAGAAAGATTTGACAAAATGAATAAATTTGGACTTGGGCTGCGTTCGATTTAGCTCAAGACGAGATTAAGTGTAGGCACATAAAACAATAAAGTCATTGGCATATAATTAATTTAGTTTTAATTGTTTTAAAATTGAAAATTGAATTTTATTTGATATTTTTAAGGTGTTTGTATATGGAATTATTTTTTTATGAAATACACCATTTAACAATTTGATAAGCATGATAACAAAAACCGAGATAAAATTTGTCTTAATAAAAAAAGGGAAACCTTATTGGGGAGCTTTACAGCCTCATATTTTTCTTATTCTTATACTTATCAGCTAAAATTTGAATTTTTAATCTTTGAGGATCTTTCATCGTAGTTTATTTTTCAGCCTTTGTTTTTAGATCGTAAAGGACACATATATAAAAGTTCAATTCACAAACTAATTTTCATTTCTAAATATGTCGTTTCTCTTTTTCCTCATATATGCCAAACAATGAGGTTGTTAAATTATGGGGGAGCTACTCAGAGTTATACCAAGCTAAAAAAAACAAGTTTTTAATTTATTTTCTAGACTCTAATCCGAAAAGAAAAACTATTAGGTTGTGTTTAGTTCCACGCTAAAATTGAAAGTTTAAAGAAATTGAAACGATATGACATAAAAGTTGGAAGTTTGTGTGTGTAAACCCTAAAAAAGTTCCATGTGTAACGAAAAAGTTGAAAGTTGGAAGAGAAAAAAAGTTCTAAACAGAGCCTTGTAAGTTTTAGGGGAGCTTTAATTCTCATCATCTCTGTCTCCTGAATTCTTTTCATCAATTTAGCTTCAACCCTCTGCAAACCCTGGTATCCACACGAAGAGAGAGAGAGAGAGGAGAGAGAGGAGGAGGAGGAGGAGAGAGGATGGCGATGGTGCGGTCGGCGTTGGGGAAGATCTCCCGCCGCCTCTCGGGATCCTCGGCGGTGATCTGCCAAGCCCCGCCGCTGCCCTCCCTCCACCCTGCCGCCCAGCTGATGACGACGGCCTTCTCGTCTCCGGCCGCCGCCGCCGCTGCGCGTGTCCGCCGTATCCCTAACCTGCAGGTGAGTCCATATATATATAAAAAGCACGCCTTGATCCGCGATTCCAATCTTGTTAATTTCGTACGCTAGCTGGCTCCTTCAAATAAGGTTTCCAGCTTGAAAAAAAAAGAGACTCCTTGAATCTAGTCAGTGACTTGTTTTCGTGCGAATGTTCGTGAAATTTCAGAAGAGGGGTTTACGAATTTGTTGTGTAGTACTACTAGTCATTGACGAACAACCTCCCAAGTATGGTATATCTGCAGACACGTTGCTTTAGGCTTCAGACAGTCTTTGTTCATATGCTAGAAGCTCAGCATGTCTTATGGATTGTGGTGTGTGGGTTTAAATATGTTCCAATTTCTGAAGAGGCCTAGCTTCAGTTGTCCAATTTGTAATCTGGTGATCAGTGACATGACACCCCTCAGCCCAAAATTTTGGGCCAACAATGCTACGTTCTTGGGCCTTGTATGCTAGTATATGATTTCTGGCAATGTGGTAGTACTGAATAGACATGGGTTTCACTTATAGGTGGTTATAATTGTCTTGCTCTTTTTTGAATAAGTTGGACACATCTAGATCTAGTTTACGAACTTGGAACTTTTGGGTCTATCATGATTTGGGGGATTTGCTATAACCAGTTTGTAAAGTTGTCATTTCAATTTTGAGTCAGATCAACGCTATATAGAACATTGATCCATTGTTCTGCAGATTCCAATGAATGGTCGTTTGCTCTTTCTTGTTTTTGTCTATTTTTATGTTTGCCATCTGATTATTTGACTATTGTATAAAGACCATTGTTTTTCTCGATTTTCTTCTTGTCATGGAACCGTTGGAGTTATTTGTAATCTTATGTTTATGTGTTTGTGAGTTCTTTACGTTGGAGTCTGATTATACTGACACCCATTGCATGGCTTAATACTTTTTTTCCCATGAGATTAGTCCACATCAGCTTTCTGTTATCTGCCACTGAAATTGTAGGCCAAGTGATATATAATCATATCTGCCCCATCCACGCTTTCTGTTAAGTTCCAATACAAAGTCATGCATTCTAGGAACAGACCTGCTAGGTACGTAGCATTCGCATCCTTATACAAAGCACATATGCCTCTACCTGTGAGGCCACATAATTACTTCTAGGCAGGGTGACATGTCCAGCATCAGCTACTAACTTTTAGAACATGTTAACTTCTCCGAACTTGGTACAGACCAATGTTCACCTTGTCTGATTCCTAGTTTAAACTTTAAAATCTAATAATCTAACGCATGTTTGGATAACAGGTTTGGGATTGGTGGGAAATGATATTTATACCCCAGCTCTAACTCTTCTATCTGTCTAAATATTCACTAAATATTTTTTTACCATAATCAACATATTTTGTATAGTTGTTTCTTTTGCCACTGATTGACTGTAGTTCTTTGTGCAGGGTCTGCAACATCCCCCTTTCATCTGCAAAGGAACTGAGCGTATGCAGTGGGCAGGACAAAAGAGGTTCTTCTCAGTGGAGGCGAAAGCTAAAGATGCTAAGCTTATGGAATCAGCACGGTATGTGTGAGTAAGGATTATATAATAACACAATGTCTCGATGTAGCCTATCCAATATAATGTGGGCGCGTACTGTTTTAAACCTATGTATTCGCTATTATTGAAATGGGCTTCTGGTTTCATTCTAGGATTTAATATCAATATATGCAGTTAAGTTCTCTGCAATTGCTAGCTCACATCTATAAACCTGATTTCCTATGCACCTGTGCTAACCAATATTAACAATAGAATACTACAACTTATTCTTATAGCTCTGTACTTCGGTTTCTGAAAACATTACCTTAAAATGTATAGAGGCATGGTATATCTCAACATTGAAACATGTCTACTAGCTAATCTCACAATGATGTTATTTTTTACCTCCTTTTGCAGGTCGTCTGTGAAGAGGCTCATGGCTTGGATGAATGAACAGGCTAACCCACGCAATACAGCCATAGTTTTAACAATCATCAATGTGGTATATCTTGGTATCTTTATTAGAGAGTGCCTAAGATCGGATGAACATGCAAAAGACTGCACTGCTGATGATAACGGGGACCGTAATTCAAGCTACAGGATAGTTAAATATGGATGTCATGACCCTTATGCATGTCCTTGGTACCGTGCCCTAGTTGCTCAGTATGCTGTGATGTTAGTACTAGTTCTTTTTACAATGTAGTTAGTGGCAATGTCATCTATCAGGATTTCACTATCAGACTTTTTGTAGTAATCTGCTGTCTGGTTGTAACTGAATCATGGCCTTAAGTGTTTGTAATTTGCTACCTCTGGTTGTAGCTGAATCATGGCCTTAAGTGGGCCCAACACTGGATGGATCGAATTGAGCTAAGGCTATGGGTTGGGCTTAAGATGATGGAGGACAAAATTTGGTCATGTTTGCTATCTTCGATTTAATTTGGCATGGATTGCGTACTTGAGTTTGAATTTTGAGCAAATTTCACAAACCACAGGTTCTAGGACATTCGTACCACAAAACCCCATATTTTATACTATGTTTCAAGGAACCCTAGGTTTTAGGGAAAAAAAAGTTTCATAAAACCCCACATTCATGCCTAAATCATTCGTTTGGCTATTATACTTATGCATAATACATGTATAAAAATAATATGTTGTATTTTCTAAGTAGATACACACATTGGCTACTTTCTCAACAAACATAGGTTGCCAATTACACTGAGTTTGGGTTTATATGTAATTTGTTCTTGTGATGTTGCTATTTGCATTTTCATTTTTTTTTCGATTATGAATTCTGGGAGTTAGGAAGGAAATATAGTAGACAATAAAGGAATGTGTTGTGTGTATTTTCAGCCTCTAATATGAGTATATGCTTGGAAATATTGTGTATTATGGTGAAATATAAGTATTTTGTGTAAGTATTATTAAAAAGCCGCATCAATTTTCAGCAAATAAATTAATGCAAGATAAATGGTACCAGTACATGATCTTGAAGAAAAAAAAATGTGAAACCTGATTTGGCTTTGCTAGTGCTCTATGTGCATTAATTGAGTTCTATCTATCTATGTGATTCTGAATGTTTATTCATGGTTTTGCCAGTCATCATAAACATATATACTTAAATTAGCTGAGTTTTGCCTTGAGAATTTCAGCAAGTTCATCACCAAAAAAAAAGGGAAAGAAAGAAAGTGCCAGCCTGTGGTCTGGAAAAACTCTTTGCTATGAGGGCCGAAAGCCCAAAACTGGCCAAGGCCACAGTGGAATCTGTTCAGTTCCTTTCTTGAAAGGAATTCATTGCAGCTCTCTTGATGGCAACTGCTCATTTGCTAAGCTTATTTGCTCTGTGAACGCCAATATATGCCTATAAAAAAATGCCAATATATATATCAACCATGTAATCAAGTGGTTCTGTTGGGAGAATCTTGGTCCGTATATATGTACAGTTGCAGGGAAGAATCAATCAGCAGACAGAATGCCATTGATTTTTTTTCCTGTCTGCACTCTGAATTTCTTGATCAGTGCCCCTGTCGATGCAAATTGCATATCCATCCATCTGTTCGTCAGGATCAGACTGCAGACAGTTTTCTGCCCCCAAATTTGATGCTGCACACTGATCATCTCCTCAAAAAAAAAAATGCAACTTGCAATGGCGTGTTCCGGTATGCATGCATACATGGCCATTGTTGGACTGTGAAAGCTCAAGAAATGGTGCTGTCTTCCATGTGAAGTAGTGGGGTATATATACTTTCTTCTTCTGCATCTCAGCATCTGAATGCAAAATATATTCCATCTCCATTCTGAAGAACTTAACTGACACTGTCGACGAAGACGAAAAGCTTGTATCTGTTCACAGCTAACAGTAGACACAATGCAATGCGACAGTCCTTTCCTTTTACTTGGGAGAGGTCTGTCCATGAACATGAACATGAACATGAGGTTTTGAGGCGATGAGGATGCATCTGTTAACGTCAGTGGCGTCGCCTTCAGGGTCTCTGTGATCGATGAGTGGGTGGATTCTAGTTGGCGTCCATGTCGCCAAAGATCATTCGCGAGATTCCGATCGATCGATCGATCGATCACTCCATCTACTGGCTCTATCATCACAATCAATAGAAGAAAACATCAAAAGAGATTTTATTTTTTGTACACATATATGCAGAAAAGAGAATTAAATCAAATCACTTCACAAAGTTGTTTGTTGCAACTTGCAAGTGTGTCCTGACCTGTGTAGCTTCTCCTGCCGTACAGGTGTCCTGCAACTGTGGCCGTTAATGGCTTTTCAGCTAGGATACTATTAAGTCTTTAAATAAAAGCAGAAATGCAATTTTCTGGGATGTGTTAATGGCAAGTGTGCATAAAAATGTCTGCGATATTATTGGATCAATTTGTGACTTCTTCTGTTCTTAGCAGCAGAGAATTTACTTTCAGATGTCCCTTTCTTTTTCTGCTGAAAATGAGATGGCTCGTAGAATAAGTTCAATCTGTCAAATTGGTCTGAATAAGAATATATAAGATGCTGGATGACCGAACCAAACCATCTTTCAGTAAGGAATAAAAGCATTATCAGGTTAACTAGAACTACCAGTTGAGCATCTGAGACTGTTCTAGAGCCGTCTCAACTGTTTGTTAGCTTGGCATTTCAGAGTTCAGTAACAGTTTGAATCACTCAGTCAATGCAAAATGCTCAACAATCTACTCCATTTGTCATGATCATAAAAAGAAGACCTTTTCTTCCTTCTGACTTATCAACAACAACAACAACCTTTACCATGAACAGCACAAGCCATGACTCTGTCTGCCACTCTTTCACTCAATCACCTCATCCATATGTAGTTCTGCACTACTACTACAGTAGTAACCTTTGTGAAATTCTGCTACTCCAACTTTTCTTTTTCTTGAAAGAAAAATGCATATGCTACTACTGGCTGCAACTCTATCTTCCATGGGCTCATTTCTCTATGACACATTGACACATTGCAGATGACAAAGTTTGTGCCAGGGCAGTGCAGAACAGAAACATTGGGGACCAATTAGATGAGAATTCAGAAAGCATTCAAGGTCAAAGTAGGTAAATATCTGCAATTTTGCAGACAGATAAGAGGAGGATAAACTGAATAAAGTGCATTGGCATTCATTGTGTTTGTACATGTTGGTGTGTGCCGTGGAGATCTGATGGCGTTTGCCGGCCTGCCAAAGAAAAAGTCAATCATATTTTTTGTCAAAAGATGAAGAAAAAGAAATCTCAAACAGTAACCCCTTTCTGCCCACTTGTAGTTGCCTCTTTGCATGTAAAAAATAAATAAATTGAAGAAAGAAAGCGATCAAGAAAGAATGGCTCTTTATTTCCTTGAGGTCAGGGGCAGGGGCAGTAGTACCCCTGTACTTTTGTCTGTTCATGGTGACATTGTGCAAAAGTCAATGGAATTGATACTTTTATGTGTTGGGTTGGGCACCATTTAAATTATATCATTGTTGCTCTTGTAGTACTAATTGTATAAACCAGTTAATTAGGTCAACATTGTTTAATTAGTTTAGGTATGATAACGGTAGGATCTTGTAATGGAGAGAATGAGCTATGTACATGGATGTGATGAGGGCTAAATGCATCAGGAATCTGCCTCTATAGAATTGGTCAAGTATAGTACTATGTATGCCTTAAAGATTGCTCTTTGAGAGCGATGCTCCGGTGCTATTTATTGGTAACATTATACTACCGATATTATTAGGGGTAAATTAGTAATTTACTAATATAATAATTAGGAGTTACTTTCTCATTTATGTTTTTTCTGGCTAAATCGATCTATGATCATTCTTTGTGCTAGCATCGCTCATATTTCATAAAAAAAGCCAAAAAAGTGAGAAAAAATGGTTTAGTTACTGCTAAATAAAAATTATACCTCTCTGCACCCTCTTTTTTTTTGACAATAACGTCCCTCCATATTTCTACTACCGCTAATTGTGGTGATAGTATAAATAAATTTGAACCCTTCGATCAAATGAAAACAATGGTTTAGATTGCTTTCTACTATCAATAGAAAACACCATAGCGGGGCAACTTTTATGCTAACCCAATTAGAAGCTTTGGCATAGCTTATTCAACTAAATGTTGACAAAGGAATATTCAGTTGAATCTGAACAAGAAATGGAGAATTGCATTATCCCCTTAACTGAGCTATGTACATGGTTGTTATGATGGTTACATACACGATGAATGCAGCCTAGCTAGTTCCGGCAGTTGTACACCTTATACTGAGAGTGTTTTGCTTATTCTAATCAATCCATTCGTTTGCTATATTAGTAAGACTGCACTATTTACAGTTAATGAAATTAATTAAGGCCTAAAAAGGAGAATGGGTGTAAAAAAACATTTTTTTTAAGTGAGACAAGAATTAGTAAAAAAAAGTCAATGGAATTGATACTTTTATGTGTGTTGGCCGGTTGGGCACCATTTAGATTAGATCGTTGTTGTCTTGTACTCCTTCCGTTTCGTATTATAAGTCGTTTTGACTTTGGTCGAATTCAAACTGCTTCAAATTTGATCAAATTTGTAGAAAAAAGTATAACAATTTTAACCCAGGCCTTGTTTAGTTCGCGAAAAGAAATTTTTTGTGTGTGACATCGGACGTTTGACCGGATATCGGAAGGGGTTTTCGGACACGAATGAAAAAACTAATTTCATAACTCGCCTGGAAACCGCAAGACGAATCTTTTGAGCCTAATTAATCCATCATTAGCACATGTGGGTTACTTAGCACTTATGGCTAATCATGGACTAATTAAGCTCAAAAGATTCATCTCGCAATTTCCATGTAAACTGTGCAATTAGTTTTTTTTATCTATTGCTCTATGCATGTGTCCAAAGATTCAATGTGACGTTTTTGGGAAAAAAATTGGGAACTAAACAAGGCCCCAAAACAAATAGGCAAAATAATATATTATGAAAATATATTCAATTATAGATTTAATAAAACTAATTTGATGTTGTAAATATTACTATATTTGTCTCTACAAACTTTGTAAAACTTGAAGTAGTTTAAATTTGACCAAAGTCAAAAACGACTTATAGAGTATTACTAATTGTACAAACCAGTTAGTTAGGTCAAAACATTGTTTAATTAGTTTAGGTACGATAACGGTAGGATCTTGTAATGGAGAGAATGAGCTATGTACATGGATGTGATGAGGGCTAAATGCATCAGGAATGTGCTTCTATAGAATTGCTCAAGTATACTATATATGCCTTAAAGACTTAATTTTTATGCTAATCCAATTAGAAGCTTTGGCATAGCTTATACAACTAGATGTTGACAGAGGAGCAGATAGATCGATATTCAGTTGAATCTGAACAAGAAATGGAGAATTTCATTCTCCCCTTAACTGAACTATGTACATTGTTGTTATGTACACGGTGAATGCAG